CTGGTGCGGGTGCGACACCGAGGGTTGCGATCCTGTTGCCGGTCCCTGGTGCGGGTGCGACACCGAGGGTTGCGATCCCATTACTGGTCAGTAAAAAAGACAAAAAGGAAAAAAAAAAAAAAACAGACTGAGATACCATCTCAGTCCAGTTAGGATGGCTAATATCCAAAAGACTGAGAATGATAAATGCTGTCAAGGTTGCAGAGAAAAAGGAACCCTCATACACTGTTGGTGGGACTGCAAAATGTTGCAACTTTTATGGAAATTTATGACCCAGCTATTCCACTGCTGGGAATATACCCAGAGGAATGGAAAGCATCACGCTTAAGGTATACCTGTACTCCCATGTTTACTGCAGCACTATTTACAATAGCCAAGAGTTGAAACCAGCCCCAATGTCCATCATCAGATGAGTGGATAAGGAAACTGTGGCACATCTACACAATGGAATACTACTGTGCTATAAAAAAGAATGAAATACTACCATTTGCAACAACATGGATGGACTTAGAGAAAATTATATTAAGTGAAACAAGACAGGCACAGAAAGAGAAATACCATATTCTCACTTATGAGAGAGAGCTAAAAATAAATAAATGGAAAAATAAATACACAAACAAAGTATGTGAGGTGGGAAGAAGTCACAGCAATCACAACAATTCCCCGAACTTGTTAAGACTAGTGAACAGATATGATGTAGTGCTGGAGGGGGGGACAGAATGAGGGGGGAAAGAGGAATGGGTAAAGGGACATGAAAACCAACTATAATATATACTGAGAAGTTAAAAAAAAATATTCCCAGAAGATTATGCTACATTTTTAAATGTTTTAAAATTGAAAACTAATGAACGTTATAATAAAATTATTTAAAAAAAAGATATTTAAAAAAAATTCTGGACACTATTTACTTCTTGGATAGAGGAAAGGATAAGGAATAAAGAACACTTGGCTCAGGCTTGTATCACTGCTGGGTCATGTATATTATCATGGATGACCGGAAACCAAAGATTCTAATTAATCCTGTACTTTGAAAACAGGTTAAAATAAATGAAGTTACCGCAGATGTAAGGATGGAAGTAGTCAATGAGAAAATAAACACCACCACACATTTTTTAATAGCTCACTGAATGCAGTCATTTTGGAGGAATTCAGGTGTTGATTTAAGTGCTGATTAGATTATTAATACTATTGATGTGTATCATATTAAAAAGTGATATTGCTATTAATCATTATGCAATAATGAAAATCTATTTCTTTCACCTCTGCCACACTTACCCAATACTTAAACTCTTCAAATGCTTCAAATTCAGAATGAGTCGGTTATCACATGCCCCTTTTCTCCCAATGTTATATTTGATAACACAGTGCAGCATTTAAAAAACAGTTCTCCCCCTTTATACCACATCTATATCTATAGACTCTATGAGAAACAAAAAAACAAATCTTTGGATAACATATTAAATTTTGTCACTAACCTTTGGTGGGCCACAGTCACATTGTTCATTAGATTCCACAATTCTATTGCCACAAGATGGATTTTTTCCTTGGTAAGTCACTGTTGAAACTGTTTGATTCTGAAGACACTCAAGTGCAGGCTGTGAAATTACCTGTTTAAATCCATCTATGCTGCAGCTTCTAAAAACTTTACTCCATGAGATTGTCTAAAATTAAATTACATTCCTCAGATAAATGGAATAAAAACATCAAGGAAACAAGACAGGCACAGAAAGAGAAATACCACATTCTC